CAATCTAAAAAACAGAGCAAAAATCAAAGGTTTACGGTCTAAACCAGACTTGGAGAGATTTATCCATGCCTTTGTCCCGGGTAAACGTGTAAATGTCACGAAAGCATGCCTATGTTCCCTTATTTCTAAGTTTTTTGTTTTTTTTTTTAACCAAAATTAGGCCCTATGTTCCCACATTTCCTTTATCATCAATTTACATCGGAATTTCTCCCCATTTCTCCCAATACAGTCATCAATTACACCCAACCTGTTATCAAGCAGCAGTTGACTACAGATGTAATGTAGAGGTCCTGGTGCAAAGGATCCTAAGTGGAAATGACTCTGAAACATCCCTTAAAAAGTGTCGGCACAACAGTAAACGAGGAGAATTGTCTTTTTGTCATTTTGATGTGTTAAGTTGTGTGCGTGTAGAGAAAGTGTCTTCTAAAAACTTTGTAGTGGCATTGGGGTCAGCCCTATGTTCCCTCATTTGTAAGATTTTTCTTAAAATTAAACTCTAAATCAAGTCAGTTTTATTTTTATACTGCATTTAATGTGAAGCAAATCGAACCACCAAACTAGACCGAGTTTGTGTTTCGGAAACTCAATTTGATTGGCCGTTTCATTGCACTTTCTCGAGGTGGAGGTCGGTTTTCCCCGAGTCCCGACTAGCATAAGAGAATGCCACAAAAACCTATCTTCATGGAGACCAAACTTGACCAAGTTACAGGTCAGATCTGTGGAGAGACGACCCCATTCACAGCCAGAATCCCTGTTTTTCTAGGTATTTTTGAGCTATAAAACCAACTGTAATTGTATAAATGTAAGGTAGAGCAGTTTAAAGTCATACTGTGGAACATTCCAAGCAGAGAAATGACCCAAAAAGCTACATAATGCAGCTTTAATTCGCAAAATATCTTAACCACTTTCATATTTCCTGGACAAGCTGTGAAAGTTTTGGGGAGGGGACTTGTGATAATATGTTCCACACGAGCTCGGAGGGAAATTTGCTCATCAGAATTAATTACTGGTCAAACGTTAAACACTTTTACAATATTTATTTAACACTTATTTTAACCTCAAAGATCCGATCCGAGGCACAAACTGGCACTAAAGACACAAGGGCCCGTGAACTCCTCAGCTGTAATCATGCAAACACGTTGACAAGGAGATTAATTAGTGCCGCCCTAATGCACTACTGTGTCTGTGTGAGCAACAAAGAGAATCTCCTTTTTATTGTCCCAGATACAAGCGCAGGATATTACACAGCACTTAGAGGGAAAAGCAAATGTTCCTAAAAGCCTGACTCAACGCTGAAGTGGCACTCACGATCTGAAGCGGGCGAAGTGCGAGTGAAGAGGAGGATTCAAGAGCCACTTCCTGTTTCGTGACGCCTGGAGGTGCATGAGTTGGTGTGTTTTTGTGGATTCAAGCATGACTTTGTGTATTTTTGTCCAGATTTTTGGTAAACAGCTTATATATTACACTATTTTTTGAGTTGCTGTAATGTTGTTACCTCATCACAAACAGACCTGGAGCTGTGTTTTGTTTTATTCACACATGTTTGAGTAATCCTTTATTATTTGTCTGTTTACATCTCCAAAGCTTAAAACACTCTGTCCCACCTTGTGATGTCATGAAGCAGTAGTTTTCAAGTTAACAGCTACATTTTAAAGGGCCCATCTCATGCAAAATCAACTTTTCAGAGCTTGTATATGTCGCCGAAGTGTTTTTTAGATTGATTTGGCATTTTTTAAAACAAATTGCAGCGTATTTCTGCCACTCTCCCACGTGACAATGAACTAAAGCTGTTACAACTACGACGTGGCAGATACACCTATGATGCGTTTGACGAAGCAGCACCTACCCCCCGCTCCACCGCCTCCATCTCCACCCCGCATCATCTGACAATTCCCACATGAACACCTAAACAAAAGCGACAGCATAAGCTCATTGTTCTACACTGCAGTTTACACGATATAATAAATTAATCTACTAGTGTTTATTAAAACTTTACCAATCAGTGATGTTCAGCTGATGTGGACGCGGTGCTTGAGCTTCGTGCTCCTCAAAGTCCTCGTCCGATTCCGGGTCCAACACATGCAGCTGAATGCGCTGTATCTCCATGATGAATAAAAGTTTATTCCTACCATTATCAGGGCGCGTGTCTGTGTCCCCCTCCCTCCCTGCAGACCGCGCGCCCCACAATCCAGAGCGTCCTATACACGAATCCATTCGAGTGTCCCAGTACGACTTCAGTAAACTACAAAGCCGCACCACCCGCAGCGCACGCAAGCACACACGGAGCAGACAGCGACCGCACAGCGAAAAACACCCACAGACACACTCATCACTCCACGCCGACGAGGAACGGAACGGAGGAACGAACCGAAAAAGAGAGCGCAATGTGCCACTTCTAGACACGACTGAACAACTGAGTCACTGCGAACCCAGACAGCACCCTCCCTACACGCCACAACTGAACAAAGCCCAGAGTCACCGTGAACGCCACAAAGTCCCACTGACCCATCCAACTGTTGTGTTTCGTTTAAAGTCCGGTGCGGTTTATCCATGAAAAAAGTTAGAAAATAGACCATTTAATGACAGTGCGCCTTATAATTCAGAGCACTTAATAGTGTGGAAAATACGATAGATCAGTAGAGATGTGCAATTCCAAGGCTGAAATGCTGCAAATTGTTCTAGTGACAGTGTATGGAGTTTAAAAACAGTGAAGCACCTCCTATTACCACATGACATCACAAGGTGGATGGTGGAGTGTTTTCAGGTTTGAGAGAAGAACTCAAACTAAAAATGCAGGGTTTGTGTGTTAAACGTGTGTGAATGAAACATAACAAAACACCAGGTCTGTTTGTGATGAGGAAACAGTATAACATAGATCAGAATAGCGTAAAATGGGCCCTGAGTACGAGAGATGGCTTAATTTCAACTCACTGGTGCTGTATAGATTATATTGGAGGTGGCGCAGTGTGTCGTGTGTTTGCCCACCAACCTAAGGATAGCTGGTTCAAACCTGGTTTTAGTGAACACACTGCACAAAAGCTTGGCCAAAATGTAAGATATAAACACTTAAATCTATCAGAAAATGACTTAAAAGTAGTGAAATTATCTGTCCATGCAGCAAGATCATTTTACTTGACAAGTTATATTAAAATAAACTACCTCTAGACTAGAATGAAGCAGTCTCTGGTCTAGTAAGTAGATAATAAATCTAAAAACAAGATGAATAACCTGATATAAGTTTGAAAATCTTGGCCAGATCAGAGAAATTTGCAGTGCGCTCTCATTATGTGCCTGGGTTTTGTACTTCACCCACACTGCAGTCCGAGGAGGCTTTATGTAAGAAGAAGGAAAACGGAATGTGAATACAATACTACACAGCGTGGCATTAAATTCATACAGCTTTAATTTATCACTGACTTGTCTCCATGGAGATTGCCACGTTTTGTGTTATTATGTGGAACATTACAGTCAAAATAACACCATTTAAATCTTTGTGCAGAATGGCTCTATCAGCAGGGGACACGGCTAAAAGGTAATATTAAAATCTAAAAAGTGTGGTTAGCTAAAACCAGAATAAACAGGTTTTACACTTCTGAGTTTTAACTGCTCAGACTAGAACAATTTACAAAGTTGCAATAGTCACAAATTGAGAGTGTTTTTATATTAAAGCGCCTACTTTTTTCTGAGCTTCTCTAATGTTGTTTCCTCATCACACACACCTGCAGTTGTGTTTTGTTTCATTTTTCAGTTTTTGTTTTTAAACTCCACACACATTCACTAGAATCATTTGGAGGATTTCAGTCCTGGACTTGCCGATCTCTACTGAAAAAATATGTGACATAGATGGCTATTTACTTAAAAACGTCTATTACATGACATCACAAGGTGGAACAAGGTGAAGCCTATTTTGAGCTTTGGAGATGTAGCCAGTTATCCAGGCCGGCGCCACCTACTGCCTCTGCTCAATTTCATTTCTCTGCAGCGACTAGGTCAGGAATCAGAATACACTAGACCACAGGTGTCAAACATAAGGCCCGGGGGCCAGATCCGGCCCTCCAAGACCTTTAATGTGGCCCTCGGCTGATTTTCTACTAAAATATTTTTATTATATTTTCTATTAAAATATTGTTAATTTTCTGTGGTGTTTATCACAGCAGCGTCTCCAGCGTCTCTGTACGTGGCCCCTCCACACAGAGCAGCACAAATGAAGACTTGTCTCTTTCCAAACGCTCTTAAAGGACGATCGTTTTGACTGTTGACCGTGACACCCTCATCAGAAAAATGTCCAACATGAGAAAAGTGGAGCCGAATGCAGGATTTTACAACAAAAAATAACTTATTCCAATTTACATACAAGTTAATATTAAAACTTTGTGCTGAAATTGTATTTTTCTTAAAGTTTCTGGTTGTTCATAATATTATAATATTTTAGTAAAAAAAAGAGTTCATCAATTAAAAAAGATTTCTGTAATAGATTTGTGTTTCTCTGCACAAATATTTGAACTTATTGTTATTTTTGGGGTTTATATGACATGAGATTTTTGATCCGGCCCCTTTGGATCAAAATCGGTTGAATACGGCCCCCGGACCAAAATGAGTTTGACACCCCTGCACTAGACGGTTTACAAGAACCCCGGACGTGCGAGTTCGGGCAGCAGCCAATCAGCGAAGAGTCGAAGAGCTGTGTTGGCAATGATTCCCGAGATCGAGGATTTAAAACCGGAACAAAGAGAATGTGTGTTGAATTTTATCAAGGGGAAACACATTATTGTCCTTCTTCCTACGGGATTTGGGAAAAGCTTAATATACCAGTTATCCCCGTTAGCGGTGCATTACATACGTCACGACCAAATAGCAGTGATTGGTTAAATGATAAAAGTACCCGCCTACCGTCGAGCGAACGAATCCTAATGCTGCGAGGTCAGATGGTTTGTACGAAGTGAAACCAGCTGATGAATCAGGCTAGTAGACAGTAGGGGTGTAAGAAAAAAATTCAGTCATTCAGTGATATATTGTGATACTTTATTGCACAATTCTCGAATCAATAAAAATTTTATCCTTTTGCAAAACGAAACAGCTATATTTCTGGGATACATCTAAAATCGGCTAAATGACCTTAAAGTTAAAAAAAAGGTGATGTGATGAGATCTGCATTATTAAATATTATTATCATTGTTAACAGCGCCCCATACAGGTGTGACAAATGTATTACATCGTTTTCACTCAGTGTTCCATTCCGTCTGGATGTGAATATTTATCGATCCGACACCTGTGTGGACGTAAATATTTTTCAGCCCATAAAAGAAAAAATCCTGGAGCATTGTCGTGTGGACGTAGCCTTATAGTACGGAATTTACGGTACTCAAACATGTGTGAAATATAACACTATAAATGGTTTAAAGCTCATTAGAATCCATTTTGTGTAATATAGGACCTTTAAAAGCACTGACAATGATTTGCTCCATTTCTAATACAACTTAATTGAAACGCTTCATAGTGACTTGTAATTTGAGTATCACTTTAAACGTAATCATATTGTCCAGCCATAAAATGTTAATATATATAAATTATGTCATTTATTAATCTACCATTCTCATATTTCACACTTCACATTGTTGAACTTAAAGGTGCACTGTGTAACTTTTTGGTTGGGGTCCTTCAAACAGCTCTACCTTATATTTGTTCAATTACAGATAATTTATAGCTCAAAAATACTAAGAAAAAGAGACATTCTGCCTGTGAGCGGGGTCGCCTCTCTACAGATCTGACCTGTAACTTGGTCTGGTTTGGTCTCCATGAAGATAGAAAGATTTAATGCCATACTGTGAAACATTCCAGACAAAGCAATAACATCTCCACAAAGAAAAGCATCTAACAGACCAGAGACTCCACTAGAAAAGTTACACAAAGCACCTTTAACACCGTCACTGTTCTTCTTCTGTAGCACCAAAAACGTTATGAAAAATCCAGGATTTCCTTTCGTGTGTCATTTGGTAAAAGTGTCCTCCTCGATGTTGAACTGGTGGTTGGGTTTGGTGGACTCCAGCATGAGTTCGTACAGCTGTCCAATCTGCTCCTCCTGAAAGTTCTTGAGGTTTTCTTCTGAAAGGTCGGCCCCGAACTTCACTGAGCCGAGACGCTGGCCCTCGGACTCCAAGATCTGGGTCTGTAGGGTGTCCTTGTAGTTCTGTAAAAGAAAAACAGAAAAAAATTAAGATTCCGATTGAGACCTTAGGTACCCTTTAATTGCAATAAAATAGATAAATCGATAAATACAACACATAAAATGACTTAGGCCACAGGTAAGTATGTAAAATAATGACAGACGTGACTTAAAATGTATAATAACAATTTATTAAACACTAAATGGGGGCAAGTAGAAGGTAAATTAGAGGAGCCAGGTGGATTGTTAAAATAATAATGGCCAAGATGCATAAAATATACTAAAATAAAGATAAAACCCTTGCAGTCCTTGGGCGGAAGAACCAAATCTGGAAAAAACAGAAATAAATGTTACAAACAAACCAAACAAGGACGACTTGAGAGGGGGCCCCACCCAGAACAAAACAGAAAGTGCTACAAGGCAATCACATCTAAATAAATAACTTAAATCCCAAAGTGCAAACAAAAAGCTAAACCCCCCAAGTACGAGCGGGAACTTACACTAGAGCTAAAACTAAAAGCTAAAAGCCCAGGGACGGCAATGGTAAAACACACGTTTATTGAAAGGTGTAATAGAGCCAAGATACCAACATTTAACAATACTAAACAAAACAGTAAAATAAAACTAAAACAGAATACAAAACAAAAACGGAAACAAAACAGTAGCAGACCAAAATCCTACGATAAAAGGACAGATTACGATTAAAACCAAGGATTAAAACCATGTTAAAAGCCTGATTTAAAAAGATACCTGTCCTACCTTCAAAATGTAACTACTCGGGGGCGGAAAGGTCTGCCACCAGTAAAATCTTAACTCTACAATGATAAAAACCCATTAAAACTAATTTAAAAAGAGCTAAAATATTTAAAAAAGAGAAGATCGATTAAAGTCCTAAAAAAAGCACGCCCCCTGCTGTCCGCCACATTATATTACGGAAAATTGACTTGTTATAATGTTATTTCCTCATCACAAACAGACCTGGAGTTGTATTTTGTTTCTTTCACACATTTAACATATTTAGGAGTACTTCTCTCAAACAGAAAACACTGCGTTCCACCTTGTGATGTCATATGGTAATAAATGAAGTGCTCCAGTGTGCTTTTAAACTCCATACACCTTCACTGGAATCATTTGGATGATTTCAGCCTCAGGAATTTAGCCGATCTCTACTGAAATAAAAGTAAAAGGAGCTGGTAAGTTGGAAAGTACAGCTTCATGACATCACAAGGTGGAACGGAGCATTTTGAGCTTTGGAGACGTAAGCAGACTACTCAAACATGTGTGAATGAAACAAAACATAACTCTAAGTAGGGCTGGGTATCATTAAGAAGTTGCCGATACGATACATATCTTGATACAGTACAATTTCGGTTTGATAAGACATATATAAATAAAAAATAAAGGCTAAATTATGTCTGTGATATTAAAAGTCTCTGTTAAACTACTTCTTGTGCAAAGTTACCGTATTTTCCGCACCATAGAGCACAGTCAAAAGTCCTCCAACCCCATCAAAAAAACGACTGCGTGCCCGCAATCCAGAGCGCCCTATACACGAATCCACTCAGGTGTCCCAGCACGACTTCAGTAAACTATCCGCACCACCTGCAGCGCACGCAAACACACACGGAGCAGCAACCGCGCGGCGAAAAACACCCACAGACACACTCATCACTCCACGCCGACGAGGAACGGAACAAAAGAACGAACCGAAAAAGCGAGTGCAATGTGCCACTTCTAGACACAACTGAACAACTGAGTCACTGCGAACACGCCGACAATCCAGCGGTCCCAGACACACCCTCCCTACACGCCACAACTGAACAAAGCCCAGAGTCACCGTGAACGCCACAAACAAACAAAGTCCCACTGACCCATCCAACTGTGTTTCGTTTAAAGTCCGGTGCGGTTTATTTGTGAAAAAAGATCAAAAATAGACCATTTAATGACAGTGCGTTTTATAATCCAGAGCTCCCTATAGTGCAGAAAATACGGTAATATGAAACACACCAATTCTACTCATCAAAACAGTGAATATGTCAAATGTGTCACATAAACAAGTTTCCTTCCTCTGAACAAGCAACAAAACTGTAGCGCTGTGGCAAAATAATTTAGTAAAATACACCAAAAAATAATATATATCGATACAGCAGCCCACAATATCAATAGTGTATCATCACATTAAACAATACGATATATGGATGTTTTGATATTTTTGCACAACCCTAACTCAAAGTATGTTTTTGATGAGGTAACAACATTATAATATGGCTAAAGCTCACAGAAATCGACAGTATTGATTAATATAGGCCCTTTAACATTCAATATTCATATCTAAAAAAAAACAAATATATTGTAATAATACAAGAATTCAAACAGATGAAAATGGCTTGAAAATTAAAATATCTCAAATGTTTTTTTAATTGTCCTTTTTTGACAAAGTTTGATGTGTAAATTATAAATAAACTCGTTAATTGGGTCCTGAAACTGTGCTGTTGTTTTGGGTTCATCACATTGTCTGTTTTGTCATGTTTGTTTTAATGGGACCCAAGAGAACAGATAATTGTTCATTTATTTTATTGATTGCACATTTTCAGTTTTAGTCTTTTATTTGATTTACAAACAAACTCACGTTCCCTTTGATAGCTCTTTTGTCTTGTTGATTAGTTTTAATTCTTACATAATTCTCACATTTGACAGCTGCAGGCCAGAAAATGAAAGCTTTTATTGTTTCTTGATATTTTCAAAGCCAGCATAATTGTTATTAATTTATCTTAACTTAAGCAATTATAGCACTGATTACCAATTTTCAAATTTTATAACATTATTATAAAAACACAGTCTCAAAGTATTTGTTTTTGGTATGGACCATGTTCTAGCAGGCATTTAATGGAGTTATCTGCAACTGCCGTATTTTTCGGACTATAAGTCGCACTTTTTTTCATGGTTTGTGTGTTTCCTGCAACTTATACTCCGGTGCGACTTACATATTAAAATTTTCAGACTGAAGCCTTGAGAGGCTTGTGTATCAGTATCTTTTACTCCTGTACCACTGTCACTTCTCTCTCTACTGCGCATGTCTCCTGCAGAAAAAGCTGTTGTTCTGCTGCAAGTAGTGAAATATTCAGTCGAAAATGGTAATCGAGCAGCAGAAAGAAAGTTTGGTGAGCGAGAAACTTGTGAGGACCTGGTGGAAAGCGGGGATGAAGAACAGATTCACAGCAACAGGGAGGATGCACCATGAAACTTTCCTGAAGTCACTGGGTGGATTGACAAAGTGTGAACTTCAGTGACACCAAAACCATCCTGCCGAGATTCAGAAAGGCCAGAATGATTCTAACTGGAACTGATGCCGAATCTGATGACAGCTACACAGAAGAGGAAGCGACGCTCTGTTTACATCATGGAATCTATGGTTTATCTCCGGATGTCACGCAGAAGTGACACAGAGGATGAAGAATTCAATGGATTTAGTAATTTGGAGTGAGATCGTGAGTTTGGTAAACTTATGTTCTGTTGTTTATGCTATAATTATCTGAATAATTGTTCATATGTTACGTTAACATATTAACCCCTACTCAGTCTGTTGTTCTCTGTTCTGTTTTTATTACTATAACTTCACTTTCAAGATGAAATGTCGATTCCTGGTATCTGATTTTATAAAATACATTTCCCCAAAAAGTGCGACTTATAGTCCAGAAAATACAGTGTTTTAATGTGGGTTTTGTTACTATGATACCTTGTAAAATTTGCATTGTTACAGTGCATGGGGTCGACTCTCCACAGATCTGACCTGTGACTTGGCCTGGAGCTTGACTTCTGGGAAATAGGCCTGTAACAAGAATTGCTCTATATCAAATTATCGTTCAATATACGAAAGCTGAAACCTCAGTATTTATTGCGTCTACAATTTCTTTGCCAGAGTATGGAGGTTGGAGTCATTTTTGTTGTAATACACTAACATCTGAGCTGTAAAAAAAGGTCGAATGAGTGAGTTTTATGGCTCATTAGTGGTTAATTAAATTATTTTTATGTTGCTGCCCATGCCTCTTAATCATGCTGTCTATTTAAATCACGTTTACTTGGATTATCTTGCATTATTATTATTATAGTGCAGAGGCATAAAGTAGTTTCAGTATTATCAATCATCGCAATTAGGGCTCGGTATCATCAAGAAGCTGCCGATACGATACATACTTCAATACATTGGCCACGATACGATACACATCTCGATACAGTGCATCAATTTGATACGGTTCAATAAAAAATAAAGGCTAAATCATGGCTGTGATACCAAAAGTCTTTGTTAAACCACTTCTTGTGCAAAGTTCATATGAAACACAAACATTTTAATCCTCAAAACAGGGAAAATGTCAAATGTGTCGCATAAACAAGTTTTCTTCCTCTAAACAAGCAACAAAACTGTAGCACTGTAACAAACGAATTTAGTAAAATATACCAAAAATACTCTTGGTGATATATCAATACAGCAGCCCATGATATCGATACTGTATCATCACATTAAACAATACGATATATGGATATTTTGATATTTTTGCACACCCATAACTCACAGTATGTTTTTGATGCGGTAACAACATTATAACATGGCTTAAAGCTCGTGATTCCCAAGCTGAGTCTGTCTTTATATAAATACACTGTTTCCTAGTACTGTTTTTAGCTTGAACTCCCCCTGCAGGTATAGTCTTGTGAGAGCAGTTTGGGTCAGATAAACAGAGACAGATGATATTTTTGAGAGTTTTTGTCAATACTAACACACGATCTGCAGGACCTGTCTTTACTCCAACAAGAATTTCTTTAGTCGACTACATGCAGCTCTAACAATCGTATTTTTTGGACCATATGATTACCATATACCACATAATTTTCACACCAACAGCCTCGAGAGGGCGCTCTAGTCTTGTGTGTCAGTATCTGCTGCTCCTGTTCTTCCTGTAGCACTGTCACTTGGCTTTACTGCGCATGTCTCCTGCAGAAAGAGCTTCTGTCCTGTCTGTATCATGTCA